GCCTGCCTGCACGCATGCATAGGAATATGGTCCAGACGTGGTAGGGATGTCCTTGCATGAAGGTCCCCACACGTTTGATATCATTAATATTTTCCAGGTATAAACGTCATAATCAAGGATATGAAATATGCAGGACGGGTAAGGTAAGACAAGACGAAAGTGATCATCAGCATAAAAATGAGTGGGCAGGGCACAGAGAAGAAGAATCAGCAACTCCCAAGTGTCCCACATAACATCCACCCGTAAGACTGCTGTGATAAAAAGGAGTTCCGTGGGAAGCTAACTCTGGGCACGTTACATAATCATTCTCCCCCTTGGAGAAACAGACACTAGTGTGTTATCAGTGCTGAGGAATCTCACCACGAAAGTCACCCTGTTTAAGCTACGATCGCCTGAACATACTTGATTATGGGATGCATTATTTTACCAACATCCCAAGAGATTAATATTATTCAGAACATTGCTAATACTGGGGTAGACGATGTGAATATAACCATTTTATAACAGCTTTACTCTTACAGCTACAAAACATACTGAGAGCATGGGCCCATTGTCAACCTATATGCAATTACTATGATTTTCTTTCTCTCTCTCTCTCTCTCTCTCTTTTTTTTTTTTTTTCGATTGAGACAGAGTCCTAGATAGGCTTTTTTGTTTGTTTGTTTGTTTAGACTTTTTTGCCATAGGGTACATGCACTTGTGGGAGAGACAGGCAGAAAGTGAGAAATCCCCAGGGGGGACGACCAAGCCACAGTCCCTTCTACTCCATTCTCCTCCTGAGATCTTGGGCATGCATGCACAAGCACTTGGCATGAGTTTCAAGCCACTGGATCTGGGACTCGAAGCACTGTCAACCATGCGGGAGTCTAGTGCCTCAACTACCATGCCTCAACTACCATGGCCTGGAGAGTGAGGTTTATTGACAGGGTCTCACACTTGTGATCCTCAGCTTGCCCTCCCAGTTAGCTAGGATACAGGTGCACACTACTGTGCCTGGCCTGCTCAGGTTGGTCCAGGATCCAAACTCAGGCCTCCAGTGTGGCCCCAGCCTGACGCAGTGGTGCCTGCCACTTGCATCACTGAAATTGTGCCCAATTTCTGTGACCTGTGGCCTTCAGGATGATGCTCTCTTCGAAGGAGCTATGCTTGATTGTGTGGTATAGTTCCGTAGCCCAAGAATTTCGGGTACAGTGTTTCATACGTAATACAAGTGTATGTGTGGGGGTTACATTAAACAGCTATCTCTGTTTCTTTTTTTTAATGATTTCATGTAACTTTATTATTTATTTATTTTAGTTTGACCAGAGAGGGATAGAGAGAGAGAGAGAGAGAAAGAGAGAGAGAGAGAGAAAGTGATAAAGCAAACCACCAGGCCCCAGACTGGAACTGCAGTTCGCCATGTGGGAGTCCAGCACCCTTAACCACCACGCCACCTACTGGCTCCTGTTTGTTTCTTTGTTTAAAAACTTCCCACTGGAGAAGATAGATAGAAAGAGAGAGAGAGAGAGAGGAAGTACCCCCTGTAAGTCATGGCTATGCCACAGTCCCTGCTCCTCCATTTCTCCATCCTGTTGGAATTTGGGACACACACAAATACACACATACACACCAAACACACACACACATACACATGCACATGCACACGCACACACACACAGTGTGGTTTTCCAAGTCACCAGGTCCAGGACTCAAACTGTACGTTTGGTCACAGAGGATCCAGCAGCCTTAACCACCGGCTGGCTTGATTATTTTGGTTTTTATTTTTGTTTACTATTGAATAAGTAAAACACTCACATATACAAAACTAAAGGTACCTGGGGCCAGCAGTTAGAATAATGGCTATGTTGCTGGACTCCCATGTAGTCGACCGTGGTTCACGTCCCAGACCCTGTGGCTTAAACTCACGCCGGGCGCGTGTGCATGCATGCCCAAGATCCCGAGAGGAGAACGGAGGAGAAGGGATTGCAGCGTAGCCATCCCCCCTGGGGGGTGATTTCTCACTTTCTGTCTCTCTGTCTCTGTCTGTCTGGCGGGTGCACACGCCCTATAGCAAAAACCTCTCAAAAACAAAAACAAAAGCAAAAAGAACTAAAGGTACCAAAGAGAATATTATGAAAAGTATGTTTCTCTGTTCTCTGTCCCTCAGGCATCTGCTTCCTCCTGAGATGAGATTTCCTTAAATTTTCTTCCATCAATATTCTACATATTTACAAAGTTATACATACATATTCTTTCATTTGTCTCTAGGTCTAAGACCAAATGTATCTGTTTAGAGACAAATAAAATTATATATATATATATATATTCTATTATTTTTCACAAAGGTGGTTGCATACTTTTTGTATCGCTCTATTTATTCATTAATATTATCCTAGATTACCTTCCATATTAGTCCATGGAGAGCTAATGACCGATGATTTTAATAGCCAACTGGTGTCCATCTAATGGGCCTATTTCCTTATTCTTTGAGGGATCTACACAAGGGGTCTTCAAACAGCTCATGGAAAATAATGCATTGGGAAAAAACTAAGCATGGATTTCAAAAACATTTGCACTGAAATAAATGTGTACTTTAATTCTATTTTCTCACAAACTTTCAAATCCCCCTTGTATATATCTATATCTATCTACCTACCTACCTATAGAGAGGGATGATATCATTTTAAAAAAAAGTTTAAAGACTCATCTATTTAATTTTCTTAATTTATTTCTTAATTTGACTAGAGAGAAAAAGAAAGAGAGAGTGAGAGGGAAAGTGAGAAAACAAGCTGCTAGGTCTGGGACTTGAAGCATGGTCAGCCATGTGGGAGTCCAGTGCCTTAACTACCATGCCACCTGCTGGCCCCGAGAGGCATATTATGAATAATATTGCATCAAATACTCACTGGATAAACACCTAGAAATGGAATTTGTGTCAATGGGTATGTGCATTTTTGCTTTTGAAAGATACTTCCAAATTGTTCTTCACGATTACAAACCCATCAACTATATATGAGTGCCTACTTCCTTAAAGCTTTATCAAACCAGTATTTTATCGGATGTTTTGATCATTGACAGTTTGATGGGTGAAAATTGTACATATATTTACAATGTGGGGAGATAGGAAAGTTTCAGCCTAGAGTATGTATAAATGACTTTAACCCTATCTTTTCCGCTGATAATGTGGGGTAGAATTTCCCATCTTACTGAGCTCAGGAACATGCTCCTAAATAGAGAGGTTTTATTTCTCTCTTTATTATTATTTTTTAAGAGAGATTTTTGCTATAGGTATTCTCTGGAGAGACACAGAGTGAGGGAGAGAAAGTGAGAAATCATCCCTAGAGGAAATGCCTGTGCCACAATCCCCTCTTCTCCATTCTCCCCTCAGGATCTTGGACACACACACACATAAACACACATGCACACGTGCACCAGGAGTGAGTTCTAATCTGCCAGATCTGGGACTTGAACCACAGCTGACTACGTGGGAGTCCAGCAACATAACCATTACACCATCTGCTGGTCCCAGCTTAAGTCTTCTTTGACCCCTTTCCCTCACACCTCACATCCCCATCACCTATTTGGCTCCAAAACATGTGGTCGTTACAAAAGTCATGATGTATTTTTCTATCCAAAAGGCATTGTGACTTTTCCAACCACCCTTTGCAACACTTTGAACCAAATCCAAGCCACCAACATCTCTTTTCTGCTATTACAGTAAGCTTTCTACCTTATTCCACCCTACCATTCGCCACAGAACAGTAAGAGGCCTTCTAAGAATATAAATCAGGGACCAGCAGATAGAGTAATGGTTGCATTGCTGAATTCTAACAGAGCGCTCTACGGTTCTGGTCCTGGACCTGCAGGCTTGAATCTCACACTGGATGTGCATCTGTGTCCCAAGATCCCAAGAGGAGAATGGAGGAGAAGAGACTGCAGCGTGGCCATCTCCCGCGGGCTGTGTGTTTGTGTGTGTCTGTGTGTGTGTGTGTGTGTGTGTGTGTGTGTGTGTGATTTCTTGCTTTCTATCTTTCTGTCTCTCTCTGGCAAGCTCACCACCCTATAGCAAAAAGCTCTCCAAAAAAGAAAAAAGAATGTAAATCAGATCACCAATAGACTTTGTGTAAACTTCTCATTTCACTTCAAGGAAATGTTCAGATCCCTCACCTTGTCTGGAAGGCCTCATGCCAACCCTGGGGATTCATCTCCTTTCACTGCCCTCTCTAGTCTCCTTGCTCCCTTGTCGTGCACCTTCTATCTTCTGATGTTTCAGGCTCATTTTGACCTCTGAGTATTTGCAGGTGCCTGTCCTTCTTGCCTGAAACGCACTTTCCTCAGAACTTAGCCACAGATCTGGCTCCCTCACGTCTGTAGATCTCCTCAAATTCACCTTCTCAGGAAGACCCCCCCTTCTACCTAAAATAGCTCCTCCAGCTCCTGTCTCTTTCCTCTGCTAAACTTTGCTTTGAGGTGCTCATTACTGCCTGAAATGATATACAAGGGGACTTCAAAAAGCTTGGGGGGGGGGAATGGAATAAAAGTACTAGTATATTTTAGTGCAAACATTTTTTGAAATCCATCTATAGTTTTTTCATAATATGTATTCTCCACAAACTTTGAAACATGTCCACCCATATTGCTTACCCATAAGTTTGTCTCAGTTTCACGAGAGCAGGGGTTTTTTGTGTGTTTGTTTGTTTTCCATTTTATTCTCAAGGCCTGGCACAATGCTGGACTTAGATAGGAACTTGAACAATATTTATTTGATAAATAAATGTATTCATGTTTCCTTGTGCATATTGTTAACTTTAATTTTTTTTCTAAATTATAGCTATCTCTGGATCATAGAATGTATACATTTTCAGCTAGGCAAGTCTGAGGGAAAAGCAAAGCGTTCTTCTTCTCTTCTCTCTTAGCACTGATCACTTCTGTGATTTCCAAATGTGTGGGATGTCTCCCTTCTAGCAAGCAAGCCACCAGTCCTGCAGCAGACACCAGCTGGACACCCTCTAATGTGATGCAATCCTGATGCTCTCTGCAGGTAGATGGCATACCCACAGGCTCAGGCCCCCAGGCTGTGCTGACTTCAGTCACCGGATGGAAGGTCTGACTGCCCAGCTATGAGTTGGGGTTCACATGACTTCCTCCTCCCCTCCTCAGGTTCAATTAGTTTGCGAGAGTAGTTCACAGAATGCAGGGAAGCATTTACTTACATTTACAGCTTACTGCAAAGGCTATTTCAGGATTAAACAGGATATAGATGAAGTGATGTACAGGGCAAGGTACCCGGTGCTTCCACGCTCTCTCTGGGCACACCCTCTTCCAGGAACCTGCATGTGCTCAGCTGTTCCAAAGCTCTCTGAATTTTCCAAACCCTTCCTTTTCAGTTTTGCTGGAGACCTTGTTGTATAGGTGATGGGTGGGAAATGGTAATAACCTGGACAAGGCAACCCAGCAAGGCCTTCCTACTGTTCAGATTCTTGCATTCCTTCCTCCTGCGTAAGGAGCAGATCTCTCCAAGGTGAGAGTCATCATGGGGTAGGATTAGGTTCTTTTTTCTTCTTCTTCTTCTAATATTATTCATCTCTTACTTGACGGACAGAGATAATGATATGGGTAACCCCAACAGAGTGTTCATGCCATGATCCATCCACCCCCAGCTTCAGCCAGTTCAGGTCACAGACGCATGTACCCAAAGACCCTGGGACAGGAACCCAAGACCTTCCCATGTGAGTCCAGTTGCATTACAACTGTGCTACCACCTGGCTCCAAAGATCCTAGTTCCTAAGACCTGCCTTGGGACTAGATTCTATTGTCCACATTAGGGAGCATCAGGAACCGAGGACAAAAGGCCAAATACTCATGAGCCAACAACCATGGATGTAAACCAAAACACTGGGTTGTTGGAAAGTCATGACATAGTTCTCTATGCTTTTCTCAAAGGTCATTCATTTACATAAAGGACAAAGATCAATCAATGATATATTGCCCGTTTTGTTCAATAACCTTTTTCTACCTTTCAGGGAACTTCATAATTCTCATTGATAGAAGGACCTGTCTTTATCAGTAAAAATAGAACAAGGTGCTGATTTACAGCCTCATCTGAATTGAACGTTATACCATGGGAGGAGTTTTTGTTTCTTTTCTTTTTTTTTTTTTTTTTTTTTTTTCTGGAGGTTTTTTCTTAGTGCTTCACAGAGAGAGACAGAGAGACAGAAAGTGAAAAATCACCCCCCAGGCGGGATGGGCATGCCGCAATCCCTTCTCCTCCATTCTCCTCTCAGGATCTTGGGCATGCACGCACATGTGCCCGGCATGAGTTTTAAGCCACCAGGTCTGGGATGGGAACTGTAGTCAACTACATAGGAGTCCAGCGACATAGCCATTTCGCTAACTGCTGGTCCCCAACCATAGGAGGAGTTTTGAAGAGAGTGAAACAACTGCAAGTTTGACGGCACAAGGTCAGGTGAGTATGGCGGGTGTGGCAACACGTCCCATTCAAGCTCTGATCGTTTTTGATGGGCGATCAAACTTGTGTGCGGCCTCTCGTTGTGCTGGAACACAGCTCCTTTATGATCAAAGAGCTCTGGACATTTCTGGATGATGGATTTGTTCAAACTGTCCAATTGCCGACAGTACACATTCAAATTGATTGATTGGTTCTTTCGTAGAGGTTCGAAACACGTGACCTTTAAAATCCCACCAGACCGAGAGCATAACCTTCCTCTGATGAATGTTTGCTTTTGATGTCCTTTAAGGTGAATCATCACATCGGGACCAAGACCATTTGTGCACCATGTTGTTGTAAACAATCCACTTCTTGTCGCCAGTTATCAGTCACTTCAAAAAAGGATCACTTTCAAATAAATAAAGTTGAATAAAATAATTCTTTAAAAAAAAAAAAAAGGTGGCATGGTGGTTGGGGGCACTGGACTCCACATGGCCGACCATGCTTCAAGTTCCAGACCTGGCAGCTTGCTTTCTCACTTTCCTGCTTTCTCTTTCACTCTGTCTCTTTCTGGTTAAATTAGAAAGAAACAAGAAAGAAAGAAAAAAGGAAGGAAGGGAGGGAGGGAGGAAGGAAAGAAAGAGAGTTAAATAAAATAATTTTTTTTTTTAAAAAAAGATCTTTTTGGGACCAGCAGTTAGCGTAATGGCTATGTCGCTGGACTCCCACGTAGTCAACCGCGGTTCGAGTCCCGGACCCGGTGGCTTAAACTCATGCCGGGCGCGTGTGCGTACGTGCCCAAGATCCCGGGAGGAGAATGGAGGAGAAGGGATTGTGCCGTGGCCATCCCCCCTGGGGGGTGATTTTCTGCTTTCTATCTCTCTGTCTCTCTCTGTCTATCTGGCGAGCACACGCGCCCTATAGCAAAAACCTCTCACAAATTTTTTTTGGGGGACCAGCAGTTAGCGTAATGGCTATGTCGCTGGACTCCCACGTAGTCGACTGCGGTTTGCGTCCCGGACCCAGTGGCTTAAAACTCACGCCGGGCGCGTGTGCATGCGTGCCCAAGATCCTGAGAGGAGAACGGAGGAGAAGGGATTGCAGTGTGGCCATCCCCCCTGGGGGTGATTTTTCACTTTCTGTCTCTTCTGTCTCTCCCTGTCTGTCTGGCGAGCGTACGCGCCCTATAGCAAAACTCTCTACAAAAAAAAAAGAAAAAAGAAAAAAGAAAAAAAAAGATCTTTTTCCTCACATTTAGTGAGCATATTTCAGATGCTGATACATGCCATCAAACGAATTTCAGGCTCATGAGGAACCCAAATATCGAGCTTGCTTATGTATCCCAGCTTCTTCAGGTGGTGGTGAATGCTTGGATGATGGGTGTTCAATGTTTCTGCAGTCTCTTGTGTTGTGTAACATGGGTTTGACTCGATCAACACCTTTATTTTGTCATCAGCCTTGGAAGGCCTCCCTGACTGAGAAGCATCATTGAAATCAAAATTGCCAGTGTAGGGGACCAGCAGATGGCATAATGGTTACATCACTGGACTCCCACATAGTCGATCATGGTTTGAGTTTCAGACTCAGAGGCTTAAAATTCATGCAGGGCATGTGTGTATGCATGCCCAAAATCCTAAGAGGAAAATGGAGGAGAAGGGATTGTGGCATGGTCATTCCTCCAGGAGGGTGATTTCTCACTTTCTGTCTCTGTTTCTCTCTCTGGTGAGCACAGGTGCCCTATAACAAAAATCTCTCTTAAAAAAAAAAATTACCAGCATGGTATTTTGTGAACCACTGTTGGCACTGACTTTCTGGTAGAGCACTGTCACTGTAAACTTTACACAACTTCTTAACATGGCTTCTTCCCTTTACAGAAGTAAAACAGTAAAATATGGTGAAAATGCAGTTTGGTCTGCCACCTGCAACTTTTCCTAAAACTTCCAAACTCAACCAAATCATTTATTTTCTTTTAGAATGCAGCTAGGACTGTCAGCTGTTAAGTGACATAGCAATAACTTAGATGCAAACGACTCTAGTACTTCCAAAAATGAACTACTGCCATCTGTTGCAAAAACGCATCATGACTTTTTGGACAACCCAACATACATCCTAATACCACAGCAAGGTATTTCCAAATTGCTTTTCTAAGAAGTCATACCAGCTTATGCCTCCATTAGCAGGAGGTAAGACTTTTCACTTTTCCATATCCTTGTCAACACATGGTATTGTCAAACTTAGAAATTTTTGCCAATCCAATGGCTTTGATTTGCATTTCTTTGGTTACTAGTAAGGCTGAACATATTTTCTTTTACTTACTTTTCCTTGGTTATCTCTCTTTTATAAAAGTAATTTATGTTATCTGAATACTAATCCTTTGACATATATGTTACAGTTATCTTCCCCAGTTCGTGGCTTTCCCTTTCATCTTATTTATGGGATACTTTGTCAAACAGAAGTACTAAATTTGGAGTTTTCAAATTTATTAGACTTTCCCTTCTTAATTTGTGCTTTTGATGCTACATTTAAGTATTCTTGGCTTTCTCTTATAATCATAGTACATTCTATCATTTCTTCTAGTAGTTATAAAGCTTTTGTTTGTTTCTAGAGAGATGTTTGCTATAGGGTGCATGTGCTCACTGGAGAGACAGAGAGAGAACGTGAGAAGTCACCCCCTAGAAGGGATGGCCATGCCACAATCCATTCTTCTCCATTCTCCTCTCAGGATTTTGGGCACACACGTACATGTGCCTGGCATGAGTTCAAGCCTGAGGCTTGAACTAGGGTCAACCATGTGGGAGTCCAGCGCCTTAATCACTATGCCACCTGTTGGCCCCAGGTTTAAATCTTTTTAATCTAGAATTTACTTTATAATGGTGGTTCTCTAACTATAGTATGGCAATATCTACAGGTCCCAAGGCTCTTTCAGGAGATCTACAAAGTCAAAACTATTTTCATAGTAATATGAAGATGTCTCTCACTCTCATTCTCTCATTGGCAGTAGAGTTGTCCAGAGGCTACACAGCATGCAATGGTGTCATTACTCTGATAGTTAATAAATGTGTACTTATCTGTTCATGTATTTTATTCATTTCTGTTTTCTTTTATCCTTTAGGCCAGAGAGCATATATGCATGAGAGAGTGAGAAAGAGAGATGGCTCCCCCATTGAGGCTGGTCACACCACAACTCTTTTTCCTCCAGTTCTCCATCCCATCAGGATCCTGGGCATGTACATGTGGCATGTTTTTCAAGCCCAGGGGGTCAGGACTCAAACCCTGACTGACCATGTTGAATCTGGCTTTGTTTGTGCAGTGCTTAATGGCTGCATTGTGGGGCTGCAGTTTTTCTAAGATGATAAATGTCCACAGATAAAACTCACAGAACAAAAGCTCAAAGGGATCTTCATTATTTTTAAGAGTATATAGGAGTCTTTAGATCAAAAAGTTTAAGAACTGCTAGTATAAGGTATGAGATAGGGATTGGACTTTAACTTTTTTTAGAATAGAAAGTACTAAACTCACTAAGTGTAATGTTTCTTCTATCATATGCCAAGGTCCCCTATGTGCTTGGGCCCACCTCAGAGCTTTTTCATATTATTACACTATACTGGCTACTACAGCTCTGCACAGAATCCTCCAATCTGGGGGATCAAATCACATTTCTTTTATTTTTTAGAATTATCTTGGCTCTTAGACCTTTTCTCTATGTGACCAGAGAATCAGCTTGTCAAGTTCTATAAAAAAAAAAAGAAAAAAAAAGAAAAAATTCTTGAGATTTTGAATGAAATTGCATTGAATTGTGTTTTATTGATAACTGATTTTCAGATTTTCTATTTATTCTTGAGTCAACTTTTATGTTTCCATTTTCCTGGTAAATGGTCAATTTCACCTCAGTATTCAGCTTACTGACACAAAACCATTCTATATTATAAATCTTATAATAGAACCAGTGATATTTTAAGTATCTAGTGTATTTGTAATTATGTTCAGTTTTGAATTGCCAATATTTCTTTTTTTAAAGAATTATTTATTTAATTTTTATTTATTCATTCATTTATTTTAATTTGACCAGAGAGAGAGAGAGAGAAAGAGAAGGAAAGCGGGAAATCAAGCTACCAGGTCCAGGACTCGAACTGCGGTCGGCCATGTGGGAGTATCCAGCACCCTAACCACTACTCCAATCGCTGGTCCCAAATTTCCAATATTTCTTATTAACCTTTTCCATACATCTTCTTTTTTTGTTTCTGCATGGTTTTGTTTTTGTTTTCATTTTTAGAGATTTTTTTGCTATAGGGCACATGTGCTCACTAGAGAGAGTCAGAGAGAGAGAAAACAACACATCAACCCCCAGGGAATGGCCACACTGCAATCCCTTGTCCATTCTTGTCTTGAGATTTTGGGCACGTGTGCACACGCACTTGGTGGGAGTTTCAAGCTGCTGGGTCTAGGACTCAAATCACTGCCAGCCATGTGGGAGTCTAACACCTTAACCACTACACCACCTGCTGGCCCTCTATCTTCTTTTAAAAAATAGTTTCTTAATGGGGTCAGCAGGTGGCACAGTAGTTAAGGCACTGGACTCCCACATAGCCAAATGCGGTTCAAGTCCTGGACCTGGTGACTTTCTTTCTCCCTCCCCCCTAAAGCAAATTAACAAATAATAAAATAAAATTAAATAAATAATGATAAAAAATATTTTATTAAAGTTTATTTTTTCCCATGAACAAAAGAGACAAAGAGAAAAGAGACAGCTCCCGAACAAGGTTCCCGATGCTGCGATCCACCTCTGGCCTCAGCCAGTTCCAGATGAAGAGCAAGTATGTTCTCAGCCCACTCAGAGAGGGCCCCAGACTCCAGGCCAGAACACACACAGAACATCATGTTCGTTGCTGCACCCAGTCCAGCACCCTATTTTCTGATTTTCTTTTTTTTTTAAAAAAAAGTATTTATTTCTTATATGACAGAGAGGGGAAGTGAGATAGAGAATGAGAGAGAGACACACATGTTGAGCTGGTTTTCACACTGTAATCCCTCCCAAGTAGATATCAGAGACTGCTGAATGTGGAAGCGAATTTCAGAGGTCAGAAAGTCCCTTCTCCAGATTTTAAGACTGACTGGGGGTCGAGCCTTTTCTTAAAATGTCTCCTGGAAAGCGGGTTCTAGTAGATGGGTGTCGGCAAGCTCTACCCCAGACTGTATGCTCCTTTGATCGTCCATCTCTGCTTTCTCTCCCTCCACGGACTTCATGGTGTTCAAGATGTCTTTTATTTTTTCCCTCCTACTCTCCCCCACCCCCACCCTGCAATCCAATTTTCCCTCCTCTTTTTTTTTTATTT